TTATGAATTATCTTAGCTATTGGTAGCGTTTCGTTCTCTACATTTTGTTAGTTAATCGTGTCAGAATGATTATATGATTATTTTTTACCTCATCTAGAGTTTTGTTACCTCTCTGTTAATCATCGCCAATCAACACCATAAATTTGTATAACTGTGTATAACCCTTCTAGAAACAACACCTATGTGGAAATTCCTACTGATTGATCATGGTATATTCGTATTTTACATTTTAATAAAGCCTTAACTAAAACAGGTACCCTAGCGGCTCACTTATAAAGTAAAAATATCAACTATTTCGTAGCGGACGAATTACTGAGGTATTCTGCATAACAAAACTGTTAAAACCCTCCGCGGTTCAACAGTAAATCTGAAGGCTTACAACGGTACTAAAAACTGTTAAAACCCTCCGTGGTTCTACAGTAAATCTGAAGGCTTACAACGGTACTAATCAGGTTTCGATAACCTATGGTGAACACAGCACAGACAGCACATTGTGTAACTTTGTGCTTAACAACAAACAAAACAATTATTAAAATACTTATTAGAACATTTATTTACTATGATTACTATCAATTTACCTACGAGGGCCAATAGCCTGTCACATCAGGCTTTATGCCTAAAATGTAAATGCATGTTTCTAACCCAAACCATACAAAAACACTCACCATATAAAATTTATATTGCTTTCCAGTACAACTCGTAGGTGTTTTTTACATTACTGACTTTCTATTTAAATTTAAATACCAACATTTATTTGATGAAATAATAATATATTGAAGCTTTTATAATTGCTTTATTACTGCTTTATCAAACACTGTCAACATTAAATTCGAACATTCTTATCTTGAGTTAAAGACGTCCTTTAACAATAGATACTACTATTTAAAAAAATATAAAATACTATCATGCTATTAAACACAGAAACGAATAATATAAATATTGGTGACTTAACGTCTTTGAAGGAAAATAAACAAAAAACAAGCACGTGTTACCAAGGTGATAATACCGGAAGCAACTTGATGTATTATTTTAAAATGATCGCGTCCTTGAGTAATGAGGTAACTCAGTATATTGGATAGCCATAACTACAAGGACTTCGAAAGCTTTCAAACATAGTATATATTAGGATTTCTGTATTTTACTTTCACTCTGTTACTTTCCAACCTCAACAGAGCCGCGATCAGGAAAGGTAAATATTATGTAACGTCCTATTTTTATTCATCTTGAAGATAAAAAATAATATCATTGAGCATCATCAAGTGTGAACATAATCCTTTATCGTGCTCGCTTTACGAAGTAATAGAAACGTATGTCAGATGTAAAGTTACACAGTCTTATGAATTATTTCTACACGCTCTGAAGGAAATGGAATGTTTTCGTGAATGATTAAAGAGATGAAGAGCTTATGAATGACTTTAATAAACGCCAAATTAAATCTGTAAAACTGTGCTTTAAATAACGCGTACGTAAAATTGTGGTAAAATAACACGTAAATAAATCTGTGGTTAGAATAACACGTTCATAAAACCGTTCTTAAAATAACGTGTACAAAAAGCTGTGGTAGAATAACATGTGCATTTATACAAATCTAGTTATTAACTAATTCAATTAAAGGCACTGTAATAGGTAGGTAAATATAAGGCACTTCCAAACCCTGCTTTTTTTCAGTATTAGAATATGATCATGAACAGGTACTATATAGGCCTGCCAAAAATCGTAACCCACAGATGGTTTCCTTTATAATCTAAGCACTGTCTAATGATGAACAGTACAACCACATGAACGTCCATCTTCATCAGATTCGTACAGTAGATAAAAAATTATAATCACAAATAATAACCTGAATGTTGGATAGAAACATTTGTAAGGGCACTGTTGAGATTCAATAGGGAGGAGATGCAGGGTCGCAAAAACCAGTAAATGCTTGGATATAGAGCTAAACTTAATAAATTAGTAAATAAAGTCGATAGCTAATAGTCTCAGCAGTGCTGGTACAAATGTTTATCGTAGTACATAAATTTTATTTAACATTCAGATTATTATTTGTAATTCTTGTTTTGTATTTACTGTAGGAATTCGGGGAAAACGGAATGTGTGTTTTCAGAAACGTTTATTAAATATGTTGTTATTCATCAATTCTGTGGTCATTATTATAATACATTTCCCACCTCATGAATCTGTAAACAGCATCATAATAGCCAATTTAAGATAACCTTTGATAATTAGCAGATAGGATACGTTTCTTGCGTATTTAGTTACACTTGTAAAGGTGACTTACGTTCCGCATGTACAGGGATAAGTAAATGTTTCCTTTCATTTTGTTTTCTAGACAAATGTTTTCCAGAAATCTGATAGTCTTCAACAGGTTATACGATGGGGAATAGTGAGACAATTTATTTTGTATGAAATCTAAAAGTAATCACAAATATGTTAGTTACAGAAAGTTGTGTATTTGCATATTGGTTCCTCCTGTCTATTATAAGAATAATGCTTTTTTGATTGGCAAAATTAAACAAAAGACATTTAACAACTGGTCGTTAGATCTCTTCTTTTATAGTCGTTTTTTATCAGGTCTCGTAAAGTAAAAGTAACAAAAAACAAACAAACAGAAAACTGAGAACGAAAACACAAAGTTCGTACATTGATTGTTTTGTTTTTTGTCTAAAATAGTACACACATCTATAAAGAAAGAAAAGACAGGTACCATATTGGATTTGGACATCCGTGAAACTAAGTAGCAGAAATTTTTGCAAGCGTTAATAATTGTGGTCTTAGTGCTCGGAGTATTGGCCTCGTTAGCTTTTATCTGGGTCTGTCGTCACACTTCCAAAAATACCTCATATGCACAAAATTAAACGTGCATGCCCGATACGCATTCCAGGGTATGCATGCGTAATATATCCCAGCTTAACGTATGGAAAAAGGTTTTGCTTTCCTTGTTGCTATACCAGTGGAATGAGAGATTAGTACACACCCTTTTACATCCATGACAAACAAGTACATGTTTCTCACTGTTATGGTGATTACCTGCTCTGTTCAACCACAAGCTAGGAAATATTAAAACATACATGTTGTTGTCGCCCTTTTCTAACTCCTGAGTTAGAAGTTCCAGAACCTCGCTAAAAGTAAACAATGAAAAACTAGTGAAGGTTTTGCGAAGATCTTAACATGCAATTCCTGTTCCACTGCTTTTTGAATGTGTCTTTGTTCATCTCGAATTAACGCCTATATTGTAAGGCACTCCATGTTTTACTGTGATGCGAATACAGTATGCACGTGCAGGGTTACCAGGTAGGGTCAGACCGGTCTGCTGAGTTGCAGCTCTGAATAACATAAGGACTAACTGTACAGGTGCTTTTAGGTGTCCTTCTTTCAACCAACAATAGAGGGAGTTCACACCTTATGAGATCAGGAGGGAAGAGAGCCGGTTTGTGACTTCGTTCCTATTCGGTCCGTGAGCGATGTCCTACTCTTGTTAACTCTGCTCTGATCACTAAACATTGGTAAGTTTTTCTTAATAATTTTCTGTTTCCTTCATTTAAATTCTCATTATTTCTATCATTTGTATTAGTATCAATGAATTGAGTATCTCCTTTAACAATCTGTTACATATCTATTGGATTAGTATGAATGTGTTGAATCCTTCCTTTAACTATCTTTATATATCATTTGTATTAGTATTAGTATGAATGTGTTGAATCCTTCCTTTAACTATTATTATATATCAGTTGTATTAGTATTAGTATGAATGTGTTGAATCCTTCCTTTAACTATCTTTATATATCATTTGTATTAGTATTAATATGAATGTGTTGTATCCTTCCTTTAACCATCTTTATATATCAGTTGTATTAGTATTAGTATGAATGTGTTGAATTCCTCCTTTAACAACCTGTTATATATTAATTTAGAGTGACCAAAAGAAATTTCATGTAATATTTTTTGCTTGTGTACGTACTTGTGACTAAAGGTGAAAAAAAAATGCCATAGTAAATTATTAAGTCAATATTTTTATACAAAATAAATTAAACAAATAATCAGTTGTTCCGTATCTGTAGAATGTTATTTGGGCTACTTGTTGCTAGTGGAACGCTTCAAAGGTCAGCGCTGGGGCCTTATTTTTTTCTTATTTACATTTATGATGTTTATATGGGCAAGTTAGTAACATTTACTGATGACCATTTTAATAATTGAAAAGCCAGAAAGTAAATACATTTTTTGTTAAAATGTATGTGATTCAGACGCTCATACCGTTATTAAAAACCTTATATTTGGAGTAGCATGTTGGAACTATTTAAGGTGTATTTTACGTTTCGTATATATATCTGAAATTTTACATATCTTGTGCTCTAAAAAGGAGAGCGTAGAAAATTACACCAAAATATTTCTCTTTATTTGTAGTAAAATGTGTTTGAAACTATCCTGAAGATTATCGCTTAAAATTATCAGCGACATAGTTCTTTTACAAGTGTTTAATTTTGTCGATTGAACAAGTGATATTCATAATCGACTTGGAGTGTTCGTAGTTTTATTTTATTAAGAATTATACAAACACAGATTCACACATTTTTGCTTTACATTTAGATATGAAAAATTTACTTTAATATAACTTGTAATATAAAACACAGCTGAGAAATAATAAGTAAATACAGTATACTTATTTCAATTAGTACAGATGACACTATTTATTTTCTGTATATGTTACTCTATTCTTTAACACAAACCAAAATGTAGCGATGAGTAAAGTGTACAATCAACGATATTTGTATTTTCCAAGCATAAGTAATCGAAAAGAGCAGACACTCGAGAATATTCTAAACACGAAAAGCAAGGTTTAGCAGACAGCTATTCTTTAGCGTAGGCGATGATAAACTGCGTTTCAAGTAGTTTTGTCAAGGACTTTAACGTAACAGTAATTATTATTTGTTTTCATGGACAGCCAGTTAGTTTTTTAAACTCTAACACAGGAATACTTTTAACAGCGGTGTGTAACAACCGGAAGTACCTGTCTAGCTAACACACAGGTGGATATGGGTGGACCTTTCTTTGAGAGGAATTTCTCTAATCTAAGTTCTACTTCATTGATTGCTGATGCAGAAAAGCGCTAGTTCTTGTGTACATCTTGACAATACACATTAATTCTGATTTTATAGCGAAAAAACTTGTTTGCTTTATACTGCATATTTTGACAGACAAGATCACGGAAATTTGCCTCGCTAGTTTATTGTTGAACATAGCCTATTTTATATCGTTATTGTAGCTCTGATTTTAAAACGAAATAAATGTACTAAGAATGGTGTTTTTTGACTCATCATAATTCTGCATGACCTTAGTACCAGGAATTTCAAGTTAACTATATCGACAATCATAAGCCCAAGGCAGATATGATTATATTAATTGTTTTTCTCTGATATGAGTTTATGTATGTATAGATAGATTCCGAGGAATGTTTCTCAATTATCACAGTCAATACTTGTGAAAGTTGCTATGTTTTTCAATCGACTAAGCATTGTACAGGTCACTGTATTACAGGAAGTCATGTTCACTGCCTTGAGGATATGCTTTTTCATCTTATAAAAAAACTACAACAAATTACCGATGTATATATGAAACTCGCTAGACGTACGGCGAGATTGTTAGGTATTATATTGTTAGGTATTTTTTATTAGTCTTTAATTGATCATGTGAAACATAAAAACGGGATAACGATATCGCATTGGTAACTATTGTATCTTTGTCAAAAATCTGCACACATTGTTTTTTCCACGTTTTTCTGTTTCCTTTGTTTTTTGTGAGTTTTATTTTCCTTGTATTTCAGTTAGCGCTTCTTATATGGTGACTAACTAATTCCACGAATAAAAAATAATAATACTTCAAGCACGTTTAATACAGTTATTTAGCAGATATTTTGTATTTTCAACTTGTACGACACCATATGCAACTCACGAGCAAGGCCAGGTTAGAGAATCAAAAATTTCAGGCATAACCATCTCTAATTTGGAACTGTTGACCAGAGGACTGGCAACAAGGTAGCATTAAATGCCGCCCACGTGAATTCTCATAATGAATAACGTAACTGACTGTAACATTTATAATACTCTGACAGCTGAAAGTGCGGAGCGTAATCAGCTGCGTATCGAAACTTGACACTTGGGCCCTCTGGCGGCAGCCCGGCACACCAATTACTAGGTCACAAGCAGTTGTATAAATTTCATTGAAATTTGCATATGCAGATTGTCATAATATTTAATCTCAAGTTTTATTGAAAATATTTCGGAATTCATTTGGATCATGCTTATGAAATTACGTTCATGGAAACTACCAATAAATTATCAAACCGACAATATTAAATGCTTTCATCAGTGTTAATGACCTTGACTTTTATAACAACTATTGTTTGAAATCTTGTACGAAATAACAAATGACTGGAGCTTGCATCAATGCTAGAACCTTAGAGATATACATCATAATCAACACATTGAGACTGACGTCTGTTGAAAACATACCAGGCCAAACGTATGGATCTGATTACTCAGATGCATGCCGAAAGAAGATAACGGAATGGTGCAATGCAAGCAGGGAACAAGCAGAATTAGAGAGTTACAAACATTACTCCTATTTTTAAAGGGGCTGGTAAGATATTATAAGAGATGGAAATTATAAGTTAGCTAATCATACATTTGTACTGGGAAACATTCTAGAAAGGCTTACAAATTCGTTTAGTGGAATAGTATATCATAAAAGAAGACCAACATGGGGCCAAGAAAGGAAAATTTAGTCCAGTAATTAGTTATCTTTTTTTTCGGGAATATATGTCTACGATGGAAAAAGTTTATACTTCGTATGCATAGATTTTCAAAAAGATTTTGATAAAGTGTCACAGAAAAGATTACCTAAGAAAATCCCATCAGTAGTGATTGTAGAAGAACGAGTTTATTGGACTGTAGGGCGACTGTATGGGAGAAAACAAAAGGTTGTTATTAATGGAGTACAGTCAAATTGGGCCCTTTTTACTAGTAGATTGGCTCAAGGGTCAGTGCTTGGACCTTTGTTTATACTTATTTACATTAATGATATTGAAAAGGTTGTTATTAATGGAGTACAGACAAATTGGACCCTTTTTACCAGTACAATGGCTCAAAGGTCAGTGCTTGGACCTTTGTTTATACTTATTTACATTAATGGTATTGAAAAGGTTGTTATTAATGGAGTACAGTCAAATTGGGCCCTTTTTACTAGTACAATGGCTCAAGGGTCAGTGCTTGGACCTTTGTTTATACTTATTTACATTAATGGTATTGAAAAGGTTGTTATTAATGGAGTACAGTCAAATTGGGCCCTTTTTACCAGTACAATGGCTCAAGGGTCAGTGCTTGGACCTTTGTTTATACTTATTTACTTTAATGATATTGAAAAGGGCATAATTAGCAAGTTAATAAAGTTTGTTGATGACATTAAAATATTGGGTATTTTCAGCTGTACTAAAGATATAGAGGTATAACAGAAAGATTTAGGTCAATTGATAAGTTGGATAGATATTTGTCAAATAAATTTTAATTATATTTAGTGTAAGAACAAAGGTGTAGAGTTAATGCGTAAGACAACTTCTTGTACAGTCGAAGGAGACGGGTTGCATTTTTACATATTACCTCTACAACTTAAGGAGACGGGTTGAAGTTTTACATCTCTGCAACCTCAGATGACGTTTCTGGTTAGGTTCATAACTTGGACTTCAGCTCGAGCTCAGAGCCAGGCGTTCCCCATACTGATCCTCATTATTATATATATTTCTTAGTAGAATAAATATATACTATGTAGTTGTTGGGCTTAGGATTATTAAACAGTAGGTGTCTGTGACTTGTTAGCGATAAATTGAACGATGAATAAACAGCACACACTTTACTTGTTTCCAAATATTATATATATTCGGAACAAGTTAAACGTATGTACATTAAAGTGTTCACACTATAGAGAATATAAGCATATCGTAAACGTTATATCAGTATATGTATAGTTCTCTTCTTGTCAAAAGTCCACTTAAGCCTGTTCAATTACTTTAGAATTTCGCTTTGACAGAATAAACTTATTTTTTTCGTATTTCCTTTTCCACTGTTAGTTTCACCCTAATATATATAAAAC